TCTTGTTCCTATATAGTTAATTACTTCCTTTAACGCATCGGCTTAGGTGGCTCAGGGCATCACTTGATGTTACTGCAGTGCCTCTGGCCGTGAGGTCCTAGGGTTCGAGTCCCAACGGTGGTATGATTTTCAACCCTAGCTTGTGAGCTAGTTTGAAATATTTTCTGTCTTGTAATGCTGTAAAGTATTGTAATGCGGCGATAAAAATTAACGATTTTTCGAAGGAAAATGTTTTGTGGAACCCTGGGGCTTATAGAGTGTCCATCAATCCCTCTGTATCTGAACAGCGCTAGCCCCTAATCCGTTCATACGATTTTCCCAACAATGATATTCTCGAACAGCCTGAAGCGCTATTCCGTACATGCAACCGACATCTGTCGAAATCGAACTGGTGTGGGATACCTGGATGGTGAAAACCCTGCTAGCCAAGGGTATGTCGGCGCTGGATCTCGCTACCCAGGGATAATCGCCACCTCCTGAGAAAACATACTCTACACTTACGGGACTAATGACTCACTGTTGAGGCACCTGTATCACTAACAATCAGTGATCGATCAATCAATTGGGGATCTAGAGCCGAGTGCCGGCGACTGATAGTTATAATGTGGATGAATACCTTATTAATTGCAAATAATATTAATGAAAATAATAATTTATTTATTTACGTCAAAAACAGTTAAAAACTGTGTATGACGCGCAATGGGGAGAAGTTAATTTGAAGTTACATTTATGTCTAGAAGCAAAACAAGAGACCATCTCAGCATTTGTTCGAGGGTCAGGGAAACTGGACGAAAACAGGATCGAGATGGGGGGTCATCGACCCAGAAGCAGCAGTACAATACTTGTTACAGATTCTTTATAATTATACAATCCAAATGATATATACATTAAATGTCATTTTAAAAATTAATATTACTTTCCTTTTGGATGATAATAGTAATAATTTTGTTTTCTGTTACTTTAATGTTTTATTTAATAATAAAATACAAATTTGGGACTCTTTTGTAATTAAACATAGGTTATATGAATAATCATCTTTAAGACATTTATGTGTCATTATTTGTATTATGAATATATAGTGTTCTTTATTTTAGAGAAAACCGTAAGGGGGTCTACGAAGCAAACCAAAAAGGGGTCGATTAAGAAAAAGGTTCGAAAACCGTGCTCTAGAGGCAGGAGAGTGGCGGGAGAGCGGCGTACAATTAACAAACCGTCGTCTCAGAATATATTATATTTTTTCACTGATTCAAAGTTTCACCCTTTATTTTTTTTTTTCTATGAGTCGTCGCAGGGTTGCGAGAACAAAGATGCGAGAAAGTACTTACAAAGTATATTCACAGACTATTTACGAACATCTATGTATACACGCCCATAGGAATTCGATCCCCCTAGACCGCTACTCCCCTGTCCCAAGCTAGAACTGGTGTGTTCAAAACACGTGTGCGCTTCGTTCCGAATTTTCTACAGGGCGTTTCGAACCCTGGAGTTAGTTTCGAGGAGTTTGTTAGTGATGTTATCGATTGTGCTTCAATGAAATCTAATATTCAAACAGTTGTGTCAGAGGTGGAAGAACTGTCATCAGAAGGACAATACCAGTCCGCCTGCACGCCAGATGTATTACACACTTTGAACACTTTGAACGGTTTGCTTACAAAACCGTATTGACCGCTAGTTTAACAGAAGCAATGGGTACAGTTGGTCGTGAAGTTACCAGGTTTGCGTCTGCGACAGAACAATATACAGGCATTTTTCACCAAAAAATAATCTGCGAGTATTTATAACCTTATAGTACAGTAATTTCCTTCTCATGTGGAATTTCTGTGTTGTCACAAACTGATATAGGATTGATGTACTGTACCTGATAACACTGTCGATGTAAATGTCATATACTAGTGTGATCCTACGACGACATACATAATACTTTAGAGTATTACGTATGTTCGCATATATTGTAAATGAATAGGTGAAGACGACAACGGTTTAAGTGACATTTTATAAATTCTGAGAAATATGTATTTATTTTAGGCTATATTTCAGTTGCAATTTATTTTCGAGGTTTTAATAAACAATTGATAGGCAGTGGTGCTAATGATGAAACAATGCACCACGACTTTACAGTGATATTAACTTAAATAAACAAATTTATTATAATTTATATAATGCCATTTACACCGTACTGGTTTTCACCCATTCAAATGATTAGGTTGTCGAAAAAACTGTTTTGAAAAATAAAATTTGGCTTCTCTGTTGAAACATTTTTTGGACGTAAACTCTTGATATTTCGATCCCTGGGATTTCTTTTTATAAGAGTTTACTATAGTACATTTTATTGTACATATTTTGTGTTTTGTAAATCAGAAACAATATTAAAATCTTATTAAGAACTAATTAACACATAGTATATATATAAATTATACCACGTAAGTGTCATATACTTCTGATCTCAAGCACGTTAACTTTCAATTTATTATACTGTATAATTTCATTTGACGAGTTTACCAGATTTCTACAATTGGGCTTCGGACACCTTTTATATGTTTCATGTTACTACTTTCTTATGCTTCACATCATACCACCAAAAAATTGAGTAATGTAAACAAAAATATACGATTCTCCTTCATTCAAAGGATATCTACAACAGTATGAATGCGTTCATTAATGGGTATCAATTGATATTCTTTTGAAATTAAATTATTCCACAAGGTAAATTCCTGATTTTCAGGGGATTGAATTTATTTCAATACAAAATGTTTCTACACCTTGTAGTGAAATGGTAACTAGTGTTGCTCGAACTTCACTTACTTTCTCGCATTACTGCCAACCTTTGCAATTTTCAAGAATTCATAGTTCAACGAAAATGAGACCTACGCATTTCCTTCAAGCGTTCCTTGTTATATTCATGGAAGAAAGCCAAGGAAAAAATTGGAGCGTTTTTTGAGAATTTGTTTTATAATTTGTATTAACTTTATGTTAGAATTGCATAAAAGCTACTTTTTTCAAAATCTTGAACATAACCTATTTTAAAGATCTAATTTTTTGAAAAAGAAATTGTTCATAGCCACAACTATTAGCTCCAATTTTTAAGTTTAGAAATGTAAACGTTTTGAAATTTACGAAAATACAGATTTCGTCGGAAATAGGACTAGCAAAATTCATGCTAAAGTATTCAAATTTTTGAAACATTGTACATGACTTTATTTCAAAATCTATCTTTAAGGAACAGATTTCATTAAGGAAAAAATATTTTATAGTTGTGGAAAGATTCCGAATAAATGTTGAACTTTTGCAATTTTCTAAAATCCAGGGTTTGCAACGAACATGAGACTGCAAGAATTTCTTAAATTGACACTATCCAACAACAAAATGTATTCAAAAACAATGGAGCCATTGTTTTGAAAATTTGGAATATGTCTCAGGGATTTCATGTATAGTACCCCCAAAATTGAAATATCGGTTTTGAATTCAAGGGGCCGCGAGTTCAGCCATATTGGCGAATATCAATTTTGCAGAAAATCGTCTGAACGATTTAGCCGCTAGCGTTGTTCACAGACGGATAGACGTTTTGCCGTTATTCAAGTTTTTGGTGTTGAGGAACCACAAAACATGGATTCTAGTTACACCACATAACAGAGGATTTTTTCTAAATTTAGCAACTGGGTTTATCCTTTTTTCATGACCAGGGCCTTGTAATGAGAGTTTTTCTGCCGAAAATTTTCTGATTTTTGCGCAGCATTCCTTAACTTTCTCTCTACTTCATAGAGAGAAAGTAAAAAATCAATCTTCAGAAAGATGCCGAAGAAATTTAAACTCTTCAGCATTCCAAAAAAGCAAGGACTTCAATAAATATGAGACTTGCGAATGTCTTTTCGGCATCCGCACATGGTTGTTAATAACTTGTCCTCGGCTGATTCACTACTTGAGAACGCTTTTGTATCTTTTTGATAATTTACAGAAGCGTAGTCCACAAAAAGTGAAATTATAAAATATATTAAATACAGTGCAATATCTCGTTGCAATATGTTAATCAATAAGAAGTGGAAAATATCCTTTTATTTAAATGTAATCACTTTTGTTTTCTTCTAACAAAAGGTAATTATTATTTTATCTCGTCTATAGTAATAATAACAATGCCACACAAGTTAGTTATAAATATATGTTATAATTAGACAATCCATCTGTAATCATACCTTAAATGACTTTTATGCTTACAAAACGGATTTCGACTAATCTCGTTGGTTGAAATGCAGTTTGTGATCCGCTTCGTTCTCACGCTGTCGATTCCGAGAATGAGTCATACGCGGCCGGCGCAATTTCCCGCGGATAGTGACGCTTCGCTGCGCAGTTCCAGGTTGAGAAAGAGGCCCCCAAGTTAACATAGAACATCGAGTCTGTCCACCGCATAATTACCGAAGTGCTTTGTGCGAATACTCACCTTAAAAATCATTTGGCGTGTAGATGTTCTTTATGTGTTGCAGGAAAGCCTCCATTTTCTTTCCTCCTGTTTGGCCCATAGTTTTCTTCTCCACTCTTATTCCCATAAATCCCATTCAATGTCCGCTCTGTCCCTTTGATTTCTGGTTCCGCGCGAGTGAACAAATCGGATCACAAATTCCATTTCAGTCCTCTCGTTTATTTCAACCTTGAAATGCAAAAATTGTGCCCAAACGTATGTATACATCCATAAAAGTTGATAAACTATAGAAATGTGCCTGTCCTCAAAAACGCACAAATACCACTAGTAGGTAGAATTCTCTTTTCGAACATGAGCTGGCAGCTGAGCCTTGCGATTCCCGCGTCGCCGTCACTGACTAACGATTCCAGTGACGACCACGAGTAAGCAAGGACATTTATTCCTATGTTTAGTAATTTAAGAATTTTTGTGAAAATGTGTAAAAATATTTCTGTATAATTTAAGTGTTTTCCTTTAATAAGAAAGTGTTTTTTTTAATGTTAAATATTTACTGATTATCATTTAATGAAGTGATCGTTTTTGTTCGCAGATATGTGCTGAATTAGAACGCAACGCATCTTATTGGAGTATTACTTGGGATGAGCGGTCATCAACACATTATGCTGTTCGCGATACACACCTAATTAGTTATGATGATCCTAAAAGCATTGAGAGAAAGGTAAAATTACATTGTGCACGTTATATGGCAATTAACTCTTGACTTGGTTGATAAAAATAGTGATGTTTCCGTAAGTTTGAGGGGAAAAAGTGTGCCACTTAAAATTCCAATTTCGGTGTCTCGATAAAGGGATAAAAGTTCCCCCTGCTGTAAGTCACGTTAATTGTTATAATCGTTAAACATTACCTCTATCTCCGGAGCAATGAAACATGGCGTCGCACGCCATGAAAGTAGCCCTCGGGCCTTACTTTATTTAGAATGTTTCTTGTCACGTTTTCCGAAAGGCTGTAACAGGATAAGGGCATGTTTAATGCTATTTTGAAAGTCAATTTCCCCAAATCTCAAACACGACAGCCTGATTGTTTTGCAGGTATTAGAAAAAATATGAATTTTCGGTTTTTGATTTTTTTCATATCATTACTCAGAGATAAAATTCTGAGACATAGTGACTTCTATACGTATCTTGAAGAGCTTCTTCAAAATCTTTGGTGGGAAATTCAATTAAAAAATATTAACTTATTATTCGGTATTTTTCTGTTTTATTTCTAAAGTTACAACTCTAAAAACCTCCTACGAATTGGTATTTTGGTGTTTTAATGCTGTTTTTTTTCAGATTTTTCGTATTAGTTCGTCATATTGAAAAAAATTATAACTCTTTTGCGTCATTCATATGCATATAACTCATAATAAGTTAATCACTTTTGTACGGGAAAATACTTATCAGGATGAAAATCATATCATTTTATCATGCAAAAATATTGCAGTTAATTTTTAGAGCCAAATTCAAAATTTCAAGAATAAAAAAAATTAAAAACATTCATTTTTATGATATTTTGTGATCTGCTTTGGTGTGAAAAAATTAAAAATCATTTGAAATGATTTTAAATCAAATCCTATTTCATTTAAATTATTCATTTCTATTAATATTATTATTATTATTATTATTATTATTATTATTATTATTATTATTATTATTATTATTATTAAATCAAAATACACAATTTTGTACTTTTTGTGGAAAAAATTAATAATTGTGTACACATTCAGAAATAATGCCTAACGTTACACAAAAATCATATTGAATTGTATTCAGTTTAATATTCTTCGCAATCGTCATCTACAGTCGGCCCAATTTCGTCTGTATCAAAAATATGACATAAGTTTTCGGCTGAATCTGGAAGGCAATACGAGCACATGCTCATGCACCTTTCAAGCATCTACTTCATATACCAGCCCTACAGTTGTAAAGAAGAGAATGGGGTTGGATCCTGGCTGCACGATGTTAAATGAGGTGACTTTACCATCCCGCAATGAAGTTGAGTGTTGTGGAGGAAGATCAAAAGTATACCGGATTCGCGTCCGAAGGGATCTGCTACGAGTTTTGTTGCGTTCCGTTTGGGTTGGTGAATAGTGGCGCGAATAAATGATCAAAGAATTCGTATTTAAAATACGTATTGAAAGTCTCTTCTTACCAATAACAAACAGCAACCACGTGGCGAGGCAGCAGGAAGCATTAGTAACCATATACCATATAATCGTTCAAGTATACATTAACGTTATGAACAACAATTGATTTTAAAACAAAACCAATAAACAATTAAATAAAGGAAATATTCAAAGGTCGCCTTCATTGGCATAGCTCACCATCATGATACTATCCTACGTGCGTCACCCACAGTGTCGTAAGTTCAAGAGAGGAGGCCCTTGGACTAACACAAATGGAGGCGCAAGTTAAAGACATGTTATTAATTTTATTTTGTGACTATAAACTAAATTTTAAGAGTGTTGTTTATACTCCTAAATCAAACCGACGGTACAGATATGGTTTGTAATTTATAACAAAAATTATTACAGATGATAAATGATCATTTTAGCAATTTCATGATATAATTTAAAATCTAAATTTTGATCTTTTCTTCGCATTTAAAATTGTTCAATGACATTGAAAATATTGTGCATATGTTTTAGGTGGACGACATTGTTTTAAAAGCTGTCTTTTGACCAACATTCGACTTCCAGTAACTATTTGACATACTTAAGGAAAATAACTTAAATATAAAGAAATCGAAATGATGCTTGATTCGAATTGAAATTTTAGGATACGAGGTAAATACTGAAAGAATTATCATGAAAAGCGAGACAATCAACGAAATCAAGAAAATTCCACCGCGCACCTCGCACGGTGAGACAAGTGAGGAAGTTAATAGGCAATACAACTGTTATGCAGTTTTTTTGAAGATCATGCATCTATTCTACAAACTGTTGCAGAATGGGAGAAAGTACTAATGGGATGATGAATTTGAGAAAGGTATCCAAGAGTTGAAAACAATACCGTCATGGTTTTATCGAACATCCTGATTTCATCAAAATGTGTATTCTTCAAATTGATAGTAGTGCTTTTGAAAATGGTGTGAACCTAAATTAAAAATCGATCAAGAGAAAAAATTGCCATAATTAGTAGGATTCTAAAAGGAGCTGAGTTTACGGGCACAGAGGAAGAATGAAATGCCATTGTTGTGGGCAACAATAAAGTTTCGACAGTACTTGGTGGGCCTGCATTTTATTGCTAGAACTGATCTAAGCCACTAACCTCTTTCATCGTTGGCATCTGTAAAATAACATTGTACAGGTGGGTGTTATTATTGCAAGAATATTGATTTCAAGTGTAATATTTCGAGGGATCGAAGAACCATTTTCCCGATATGCTGAGGAGAAAGCAGCCCATGGGGAACGAAAGACATGTAAATGTGAAAGAATATCTTATGACGCTAATTGACCAAGGCATCTCAAAATCACCATTGTTCTACAGGGACGACCTCGTAGAACTGCATGAACGGGACACAAGGTCAACTAACTTCAGGAAAGGGGGTTACCGCAAGATGGTCCAGCATACAACGCCATTACAGAAAGCAAGATTGATGGCGGATACAAGTAGCAGAACTGGTGAAGATTGGTGATCACCCCGACATACTCTGAATATGGATACCAACGATCTTATATTGTACACCCATACAGCTGTGGTTCATTTCGGAGCAGGGAAGATTAACCTTATACTTAAGGCCTTATGTTAATGGAAGGACATGAAGCGACTAATCAGAGGAGTGATATGTAATATTCTAATGCTGCAATCGTAGTTGCCGGCGCTAGAATGCTGTGAACGAGCTTTGAAATCTCAAGGGGGCAGGATCTTTTTCATCCCGACACAGAATTAGGTAAAAACAGTGCGTATATTCTCCAGACCACATATATATGCACGTATATATGCACTGACAAAGAATACAATAAAATTCCTAATATCAAATTGCACACAAATATTCAATACGAAATCAAAAAATACTGTTCACACCCTTTAAAAATTGTCATGGTTTACTCACTCTGGTTCGAGTATTTCTTCCTAATTCATTATGTTACAACAAAAACCCGTGCACGGTAACTATTGCTGGGCCAGCACCGTTTAAACAACAAATATTAACTCCCGATGACTGAGGAGTGTAACAAAATTATATCTCCTTTCTACACAGAATCGTAGGTTATAAGCAGAACATGTTATTGAATGGCTTACTTACTACAATTATTTACAGTAAAAGTTTCCTAGTCAAGATTACACAAAATTGAGAAACAAAGATTAACACAGTTTTTCTCGTAACATTAGAATGAACTGTATTACCGGCGTACAAGGTTCTTTTAATTGCTTTGCCTTTCACAATTTCTGCTCCTTCATCTTTGTCTTTAGATCAATACATGTCTTGCTGGGAAAACCTGAATAATATGTAATTCTTTTAAAATTCTTCAAGACACTGATTGTTAAGTAAAAGTTCTGACTAATCTTTGAATTTGCATACGTTTTAGAAAAGTCTACTATTATTCTAACACTTAAGAACACTAATTTCTCCACTTCAAGAGCTGTCAGAATGTGAGTGAATGCGAAAAGCTGAGTCACTTTAATTCCCATACATGCCTGCTAACAACGTTTTTAATTTCCCGAAATAAGTAGTCTGGGAAATCCATTGATGTCATCCTTTATCTTATTGTCTGCAAGGGACCATGCTCTGGGAAAAGAGTTCGGAATTCCCTAAGCCTCTTACGTATACGACAGTGCAATGCAGCATCTTTACAGGCTAAAAAAGGCAGACTTCACCATCAAGGTGATTGCGGAAGCTCTTACGGTTGAGGCTGTGAAATTAGAACAGAGTTACAAACCAATGGAGAACAGTAACGGCGTCATCGATATGTGAGGGCATGAAGTCCTTTAAGAAGAAAAGCGGTTCTCCGTTGAATCCAAGCCCTTTGAGTGCATAAAAAAAACAACAACTTGATAATAGGATTTGCTATGTTTGTGTCATCACTGGACATATTGCATCAAAATGTTCACAAAGAAAAGGATAGTCTACTAGAGGTCATGGTTAAGGACTGCAGGGCAAATCTTCAGTGAAGGAACCAGGCGTCATAGTGAACTTAGCTGGATGTCGCACTATTCTCCACTTCGTTTGTCCTATGATAACACCTGGTAGCAATTGTTTCGATATAGAGGGCGTACGACAGCTGGAGGTACGACATTCTTCGCCTTACATTCTTGGAGCCTTAGGGGACGGTTCCCTTGGTTTCTAGTGGATTTTCTTTCATCAAGATCTTTCCACGACCACCTTGACGTCCGATAGTGAGAAACGTATATGGATCATCGACGGTAGAGGCCTGGTAGAGGTACCGAACTCTTGTAACCAAAAATAGTACTTAATTTTCATAGCATTGAATCTCAGAATGTGAAATTACAGAGAGAAAGTCAAATTATAGATTGTGACATTGATGACTGCAAATTTGCGGATTTTGCGAGGAGGGAAATAAAGGAATTCGTTCTCATCTGTGTATATTATGCTCCTTACATGTTGAAACAGTTGATTTCGGATTGTTTGACAAAGCTAGGCATGCAGTGATGCATGAAGATCAATGTTCTGCAATTTTTGTTGTTGAGAATGATGAAGTATGGCTTAAGGAGTCATTGC